AAAAACATTTCCCACCTTGTTATATTTTTTCCTTTAAAACTGTTCTTGATATATAAAAAAATTATATCAGGATAAGGGACAAATAGAAACGTTTATAAATGTAACATGTTTCACGTTTATTTAAGCCTCATCAGAAAGTTGCAGGAAATAAATTATGAATTAATTCAACTGAGTTATAAGCTGAGTTATAGCTAGATGGAAAATATGATGCAAATAAAGAAAATCTGATGTTAATAAAGAAACATAAACAAAATTTTGGGAAATGTATTATAATTCATTTCCCAAAATTTTGTTTGTGTTTACTGCATCACATTTTCCATCTAGCTATAACTCAGTTTGATTGGGTTCCTGTTAAATATTTTATTTAGTATGTGTCCCTTTAGGAAGTGATTTTCAATTAAATAAATGGTTTCTTTTCTCTGGTTTTCATGGGATTATGTTGTTGTGGCCTTGTTAGGGCTAGAAATAAAGACACAAAGAGAGGAATTGACTTAAACAAATATATTAACAGAAACAGTAATACAAACATATACAAAAAGAGTATTACAGCAAGAATGTTTGGTCCGACTGTCAGAGCTGATTGCTGGAAACTTCCCTCCCTAAAAGGCAGCACCTGCTCCTATTTATAGCTGGAAGAGTCCATGTGTGCACGGGTAAATTACCATAATGTATCAAATGCTAGATTAAACTAGATTATATTTCTTTACTTTCTTATATTTTGGTAGGTGTTCTTCTTTTCCATCATAAAGTATAGATTAAAAAGATGTCTGCGGCTTTTTAATGACCTTTTCTAATGAGGGTAGTTGTTGTTCATGAGTATAAATACAGATGATAAACAGAACTGACACTTGGGTCAGTCACTGTGAAATGTTATTTATGCATATTTTTGTCATGTCTTTAATATGATCCAAAAAACATAATGCTTACACTATAAATATATAATTATAAAATAATGTATACTGACTACTGGAAGACAAAATAAAACAGTGCTCGATGTAAAATAACAGCACTAACATATATTGTAATATAGCAACAACTCTAAGTAGAAGCTTCTTCTTTTTATGTGCTGTGTCCCTTCAGGACATAGGTGATCATGGCCCTCCACTTCCTGCTATCCCTTGTAGATCTCAATCAGTTTTGTCCCTTTGCTATTTCGCCCAGGCTGTGTATACAGGGTCTATAGACAATTTTTGCCAAGCCTGCAGGCTTGGAACACCCCACATAAAAATACAGCTTTGTGCCACATCTCACCTTGTGGGGAGGTCTCAGGTAAATGCCTAAGCTTCCTCCTTGTTTGCATCCTTTCCAAAACCTCATTGTTGCTCACACGCTCAGTCTGTGATATTCTTAGCATCCTTCTGTAGAACCATACCTTTGTTGTCTTAAGTCTCTTGTTCATCTTTGAGTAGACCATCCAATATTCGTTGCTGTAAAGGAGTACAGATGCCATGCAGCAGCTCAGTACTCTTTTTTTTTGTTACCAATGAATTCCTCCTGTCTTGCAATACTCTGCCCAGCTTTTGGAATGACTCTTTGGCCATACTTATGAATCTTTATTTGACTTCTTCTTCTTTGGTGCTGAAAAATGTTTATTTTATTGTAATTGATGGTTACAAGCAGGAGGGGAGATGGAATGTGCTTATTTTATTACAAAATTTATATTAAAAAGAATTATATTGTTGTTCTTCATCTTCCACTTGATGACTGATAAATGCATGAAACTTTAAGTACCATTGAATGGTGAGGGACAACTATATAATTTTAGATAGAAACAGAAATACTACCTACTAACTCATTAACATCTACTATCAAATGCAATTTATTCAATTTTAACAATATTAAAATAATTACAGCCACATTCAAAACTATTATGGATATGATCAGAACCAAAAATTAACCATAACAATACTAATTTCATATATAAAATGAACTGTTACAACTCCTATTTACAATACACAGGGGAAATTTGCAGAAATTTAAAAGAATCTCTATCTATAAAAGACAGGATGTGTGTGTGTGTGTGTGTGTGTGTGTGTGTGTAACGAATGCACAGACGCAATTTTCGACGGATTTGCACCAAAATTTACATGCACATGCTTCAACTTAGTGGGAAGGCCAAGACTGACATTTCCCAATTCCCATCGATACTGGAAATAATCGATTTTTTTCATGCTTCTATGGCAGTTTTCATGTAGTTTGCAGCCATTTTCTACTGGTCAGAGTGAGAGCCTATAGCTGGCTGCCATGAATATGCAGGAAGATTCTATTGGCCAGCATGAGAGCCAACAGCTGACTGACATGAATGTTAACTAGCATGCTAGCATGCAAAGAAATCGATAGCTGCAGTCGTCACAAGTGGGAAAAATTTATATCTGCATGGCACTTTACTCCAATTGGCTCATTCACTTGCTTAAACTCAACGTTGATTCTGATTCTGCGGAACTGGGTTGGGTGTGAAAAAGTATTTGTTGTTAACATTCTTTTTTCATTCGTTTTTTCCCGTTACGAGTCCTTTTTTTAAAGCTGATCATTTTGTGTTCATTTTGTTTAGTTCTTTTTTCGTAACAGATTTAATGTTTAGTATAGAGCTTAGAAAAAATTTGCAGTGTGAGATAGGCAAGAAGTAAGGCATGTAGCAACATCAGGATGGCAAAGGGCACTCCTTTAAAGGCAAGGAAGGGCAAAAAATATTTTAAGTCAAGTGATAGCAATTGCTGTATGAGTTGTACGATTTTTGAATCAAGCACGGGCAATGCTGGGCCATGCTGCTAGTGTGTCTATAAAATAATCTCTTACATAACAATTTATCAAATGCATTAGTCAGACATAGAAATAAGTACTATCAAAATTTCAAATTAAAATATGCCATGCTTATTAAGAGAGAAAGTAACTTACTTAGATGGAAAATTCTTGAGATTCCTGCTGTTGAATTTTATTAAAATATAAATCTGTGCCCCAGATGTTTTGAAATATCTCTATTCCTGAAAAAATTACTACTTTCCAAAGCCAACATATATGACCATAAAAATTTTAAAAAATTGGTTATGTTCAAAACCTTGTATTATTTAAAATTAACAAATACATAAATTAATTTTTCAGACAAATAATAATTATTGTTCTCATCTTTGTTGTGGTTATCACAAAGTTGCCACAAAATAAAATAGTAATAAATATTAAAAGATGTTTCTGTTGAAATTTCTATGATGAGGGGTTATCATTATTTACACTTTTTACATTTGAATTATTGTTGTAATTATAACAAAACAAAGTTTCTGTGGTTTCTGTTATTTGTTCCTGTTCTTTGTTTGTGAAAGGTAAGGTTACATGCCATCTGTTCTGACAAAGTCAATGCATATAGTTTAATTAAAACACTAATAAGAATCTTTCATTGTCTCTTATAAGGTGGACATTGTTAGTATTATGTTGGCAGTAATTACCCTTGACAAAAGATCAAGATGGTTTTCAAACATAATAGAGCTTGGAGATGAGCAATCCTTCTTGAATTGTTTGGATTAGGGATTTTTTTGTTTGTTTTGTCTCCAATGAAAATTGAAGAACATATCTTAATAACCAAAAATATATGAGTGACATTCAAAAAGGTCTTCAAAAAGAGTATGTCATGAGAAACTATGCAAATATCTTGGTATTTGCTTACTGCTAAGTAAATGCAGACTTTTTTTAATCAGTATCACCCCAAGCAAGGCAGTACAGCCACTAAAACACAAGGGGTTACAGGGTGGAGAATTAGGAACAGAAACATTAGTAATGAGTACAAAGAGAAAAGAGTAATCAGGTGGACAGTAGATAGCAATTGAAACTGCATTTAAATTTTCTCAGATTAAAGTTGGTGGGAAAGCATGGAGCTGGATGGAAATCCACAAACAAAAAGTGGGAGAAAAGAAACCGTTAGCTTAGAAGTTACAGCTACATCTAGACAGCTCAGCTCTAAATTGATGAGATCTCACTGCCATTCTAGTACTGCACTTAAATTCTTAAAGTCTAGGTACCATAGCAAAGAGCTCATCCGAACAATTAACATGAAAGTATTTATAGAAAAGGCAACCTTACAGCAGTGGGAAAGTGACTGGAGCTGAGCCACCAGATAAGGACCAGTAATATTGCTGATACTTTTTTAGATCTTATCAAGGAACTCCAGGTAAATAGCAGGGGTAGTGGACCATATATAGCAGCAGTAATGAACTGGAAGTATTTAAGACAATAGATGAAAGCGTACACCAGTTTAAGATCAACCTTCTTTAGAATAGCATAAATCCTGTCAAAACTGAAGCATATTTCAACTTTTCTACCCTCTGGCCTTTTTCAGGTCTCTGTCATCTTACTTGGTAACCTACTTGAAATTTTATGTCAGAATTTTTGACATGATGAATTATTATTTTATACTTTGCTATTCAAACCAATATGTTCCTTTTGGTCATTATAGTCACAATGCTTCAGTTTTTTTCAGGTGTCTGTTGTACTCTGTAAGTTGAAGTGTAAACACCCAACAACAAACGTATTGTTAAGTAATAGAACTTGAATAATGAATTAATTCCTGTAATAATGGGTGCACTTGAAAACCACCTAAAAATTGAAAGAGTGCTTAAGGAGAATTGCAAACCTCCAGAAAACTGCCATCAGAATTTTGAACTGAACACTTTAGATAGCTTTCATTCTGCTTTCGATGCTTAAAGGATTTTTCTTATCAGTTAAAACTAATCAGTCTTACTTCCCTTTGTATTGCCTGTTCGTTTCCTTTACTGAACCAGATTACAAGACTTTTCAGTACTAGCAGACCAGGGATTGCAAGGGAACGTTGCCAAAATGAGCATGCTGTTCTAAATAGCAAAGATAATTCTTCATCTAAAAAATTCCAACAAAGAACGTGGTGGTATTTTAATTTTATCAAACATTTAATTTTAAGCCTATTTTATTGCATTTTCTTTTCTTGTGGCCAACATGTGGTGATATAGGCGTTGTCTCTATTTTCCAGGGAGAAAGTGATGAAAGAATGGCTGAAGACAGAGGAAACATTACAAGAATCTGGAATATTTGATCCACAATGCATCACGCCACTTGATCGGTCAAGATTACGAAAGAAAATGGCCAAGAAGTACCAGGACACAGAAAATTCTCCCCAAGTGAGTTGGCAGTTAGGTGGTGAAGCAAGTAGGCATGAAAAGCTTTGAGAAGAAGAAGAGGAATTTTTAAATGAAAATGCCTTTCTTGTTTGATTTTGTATGCTTCTTTCATTTTACAACGTGTGCATAGTGTAATGAGTATTTAAAGTGGGATCAGAATGCTGAGTTCAGATTCCAGCAAAGATTGTTGCATTCACTTTTGCACAAATAGCTTTGAAAAAAAACAGGAATTTATTGCATCTTCTACCAACAGTTGCATGTCAAATTGTAGTGGAGGCTGGGTTCTCTAACCATGGTTAACAATCAAGGAAAAGGAAAACTCTGAATTCAATGGGATCTTACCAACAATATCTCTCTCTCTTGCTCTCTCTTTCTCCCCTCACTCTCTCTCTCTCTCTATATATATATATATATATATATATAGACATATATAAAGAAATATAGTTTTAATATGATATGTTTATGGGATAAAGTGCTCAATATCAGAGATAGAGTGTGTGTAAATATGAAAGTGATGTAAAATTTTGGTATTTTTCTTACTCAATTTTCTAAGTCTACCAAAAAATTAATCTGTGAACTTGAAAGAATCACTACGAAAACTAATTGATATGATATGTCTAAATTATTTAAACAAACTTGTCTGAATATATATATAGGAGGCACGGTGGAGCAGTGGTTAGCGGCTTGGATTGAGGAATCGCAGAGCCGAGTTAGAATTCCAGTCGAATCCACTGCATTCACTTACGTGCTAATACCCTTGGGAAAGGTATGTATCCTCTTCATCTCCCTCCAGCTATGGGTAAAATAGCAGGACAGACTGGGTTCTATAGCCTTGGATGGCAACTGGTCTAGGAGAAGGACAACTCTGAATTCAAAACCTGCAGAGGGTCGTTTGGGAACCTTGTGTCATGCATTCGATGCACCAGGTTTCTGTATTCGTCCCTCCAAAAAGTGTGGCTGGTCCTGCACAAGGCCTTCACCACTATAAACAAATCTCATGTGCCGGTGTCGGGATGTCGGTTTCCTGGGGACTTATCGGCCTGACCCTCATACGTCGAACACGACGGGAGAGTCGATTATATATATATATATATAATCTATTCACCAGAAGAAAGGCAATAAATCCACTAAGACCCAAGGTATTACTGAGTGTGAGGGAATATGAGAACCACTGACAGAAAAAAAAAACACTATTTAAAGGAGAGAACAATAAAAGAACAGGAATTAAGAAGACAGAAGATAACAATTAATTTTGTATTTAAATTATATATATATATATATATATATATATATATATATATATATAGAATGGACAATTTATTTATTTTAAGACATTTTTATGTTTATACATTCTTTTATAGATACAAATATTTAAGGAAATGTTCTGTTTATAATAAATAGTATTAAACAACATTTACCAGCCTGAATGTCTGAGAAATTTTCATAGAAAATATTCGTTCTCTGACAGGATTTGAACCTGTATCCTATACGGAATCATCATTTAGCTATATATATATATTGAAATTTACTCAGTCAGTGCCAATTTTTTTGAGTGGAGGCATAGGCTAATGTAATACACATTTTTTAAAGTAAAAATCAAAATTGGGCATCTATTTCAAATATGAATAGCCACTAATAATAATATTTGAATTAATAAAATATTTATATAATAATAATAATAATAATGATAATAATAATAATATATATATATATATATATATAATGCAATGGATAAATTGTCATCTAAATTATGCATAAATGAAAATAATACTGATATTTTAACGGACATATTTACCAAAATGACACAAAAAAATATCTTGAAATACTAAAGAGTAAATTTATTCAGTAAAATCGCCATTGGCTTCAACCACGGCCTCTTGATGACTTCAAAATCCCCTGCATTTCTTCTGGATGATCTCCATGTTTAATTTGATGAATGCTGCCATAATCCTTGCCTTCAGTTCATCTTTGGTGTTATAGAGAGTTTTGTTTGTCACTCACTCAACTGTGCCCTGCACATAATAATCAAGGGGTTGCAGTCTGGGGAATTTGGTGGCCAAATGCAATGGGTGATGTGGTTGCAGAAATTGTCTGACAGCCATAACTGGTTTCTCCTGCTTTTGTGGCATGGTGCAGAGTCTTCCAGCAGCCACCCTCTTGACACAGGGCAGCACTTACCTTCTCAAGCCACTTGATGTAGGTTTCTGAGTTGAGTCTGAGTCCCTGTGGGAAGATGAATGGAAGCATAACTTTGCCTTCACTAGTGATCACTCAAAACTCCTTTGTAATCACCATTAGACTCATCCAACTCTTTCTGAAATCTTGCATTGCTTCCAGATTGACACCCAAACATTCTGAAATGTTTGAGCTTCCAGTGTGAATGCCAAGCAGTACAACACGCCATTTCCCAAATTTCTGGCAGACTTTATTGCATCATGGTGCTCTTTACTTACAGATGGTGCCAGCTGAGCTTACTATATTCTGCAGTTGACAAAATCAAAAACAAACAACATGCATGCACAAAATTAAAAATATGAAATGGCGACAATTTACCCATCGCATCCTGTGTGTGTATATATATATATATATATATATATATATATATATATATATATAACGAGTTTGAATACAGAATTCTCTACTAAGATCTGTTTCATGCTTGAGCCCAATTTTCTGGCCTCAAGCTTGTAAAGCATATAACAGACTGTCACTATTGAGATTCAAACCTGAACCATTTTGATACAATGCAAGCATCATACCAACTGTACCAATGGGCCTTGGCAATGGAGAAGAAGCTGAATAGACTCACTATAGTGCCACTACTCACAAATTCCATGTGGATGCATACTGCTGATGAATCCGAAAATAGGATGAAACAGCCATCCAGTGCTTTCTGCATTCTGTTGAGGATTATTCTCCACTCGATGCATTACTATAATGATTTGCCTAAATAACCAAAATTCTATTCCTTGTATATCGTTGCTTGACCCAGCTAATGCTCTGTGATGGAGTGGTTCGGTGAAAAGGAAAGTCATGTCTCTTGGAGCACAATCTGTTGGGTTATGAATCCTTGGATGAGTATCACCACAAAATTTGTGAGTAGCAGCGCTATATTGTTTATTCGATTTCTTCTTCATCCCCAAGGCCTATTGGTACAGTGCTTTCTTCATTCTTTTCTAGACTCGATGAATTATTATAATACACACACAAACACATATATATATGTGTGTGTGTGTGTGTGTGTGTGTGTTTGATGAAAATAAAGTTTTGAGGTATGTTCTAATTATGGTTAAAAGTGTCAGAGATTATGTAGACATAAAATTCAGATCGATAATTATTTCTACTCAATAGCCTCCAGAATAATTTGAAGCATAACCCACCCACTCAAAAACTGTTAGGATAATCCAATAGATCATACTACGCATAATGTACCCTTTACCAGTGCATATAAATAGTTGAGCTAAAATATAACACACATTACCTAAAGATTGTGTCCAAGTATGAAACAGACTATTGCTGCTTGCTTGGTGTTGACCTCGTATATATAATTGTTGGACTTAATCCATTTCATATGTTGTTATTGTTTACATTAAGATATGTTTTGTGAGCAGATATGATTGAAAAAAATTGTTGAAGATTGTGTGTTTATAAACAGTAATTTGGACTTTGCTAACCAGATGCTTCTCTGTAGCTAAATGGTATAGCACATCAGACCAAATGACAGTTCTGTATAGGAATACAGGTTCAATTCTTGTTGTAGAACGCATATTTTCAATGAAATTTTTGGAATATTCAAGACGGTAAATATAATTAATGCTGTTTAATTAAGAACAGTACATTTACTTAAATAAATTGTTTCTATAAAACAATGTACAAACAGAAAATATATTAAATAAATGTTGGACTTGATCTATTTCATTATATATATATATATATATATATATATATATATATAAATATATATATATATATAATATTTATTTAAAAATATGATTCCAGCGCTACATAAGAGTTCTCATGAGAACTCTTATGTAGCGTTGGAATCATATTTTTAAATAAATAATTATATTTAGGCTCTACTTTTGTATCGAGCACTGTTTGAACTTTGGATTATTTACCTAACAAGTTCTTTCCTATTTTCCATGTATTTTCACACACACACACACACACACACACACACACACACACACACACACACATATATGAATAGTACAGGTAATAAATCCATTGGTATATAATCCAAGTGAATCCTAATAATATAAATATTAAAAATGATACACAAAAAGAGCTCAATGAATTTATTATAACAGAGCATATAAATTAGATAACACAGAAATCCCAAACTGCCTCATGAGTATAGACTATTTCAACCAATGTCAATACACTGGCTTTGTTCAACTCAAATGGGGGAATGTCTTGGAACTCGAAATTTAAAATTTAATATTTGTAAAAAACAGTTGAAAGAATTGATACATAACCAACCTATAACATATTGGACAACATAAAAACTGCCCAAGTGTATTGTTTGTATTCTTAATATTTTAACTTATTTTTAAATTTTAAATTGTTGATATAATTTTTTAAGTTATTTTTTCTTGATATTTTTTCTTAATATAAACTATCTAAAAATGATTTATTGTTAATCTTAATATATTTTATTTGTAAGCATATTTTGATAAATTTAAGTTAAAATTTTTTTGTTATTATATAATTAATTTTCATCTGAAAAAAACCTCTTCTCTTTCAGCTTCTTTTAGTATAACTTCTTCTTTCTTATAACCACAACTTGGGGTGTTGAAGTTTATATCTTGTTGAATTTGTGTAGTGAATTTTTCATTGAAGTCTGACAACATCCATCCTTCCCTTTACCACCATTGTATTGACATTGGTAGAAATAGTCTATACTCATGTCATATAATTTTGAATTTCCTTTTTACGTTTATTAATATATATATAAATATAGACAAATTTTAATTGTATTTTTAATACCACCACACATG